GGTTAGGTTTCTGTTTGCAATTCTCAGCAAAACAGAATCTGAAGTTGCATAGCGAGAAATTTAACAAACTTGTTCTTCTTGTTGGCGGCATGATTTTATACTTTGACAAAAATAACATATGAAAACTTTCTGACCTGAATTTATCTGAAAACACAATAGAATTGAACAAGTGTAAACCAAAATTTTTAATAAGAACAAATTTTGACTGTATTTAGAAGAATAAAACAATCAGAAATCAATGCTTAATTGATTTATCTTAGTTATTCGACGTCAAGGTTTAGTTTTTGACCTCTAAACTCAAGTGTGACTTTCAAAGGACTACATGATACCAAAAACAAAAGCAAAGCCCCAACACATCATCACAAAAACAGTAAAACCTGGTGTTTCATTTTTTACATCAAAAAATTTCAAAGATTAGCACACTAGATTAGTCAAATGGTCTTTTCATTCATTCTCACAGAAAGATGCGGATTCTGATGGGCGTGGAGATTCATGTGACAGCAACATTGACACGTGAGTTTCAGCAAACATTTTCTACAACTTCAAAATTACACCTTTCTTTGTTAACAGTAATAAAATGCCTTACTTATCCTAACTACCTTCTTCAAACTGACAAAGTTGCAGAAAAGCAATTGTAGTGACAACCAAGTATAATGGAACTCCTCTTTGTTACTGAACTTCCTATACATAAAATTAAATTGAAGTTGACCAGAATACATATTCGATAATTTTGTTGAAGTAGCTCTTTGCAAATTAATTATATAATTTAAAATTCTGCAAGGACAAATACACACAACTTTCTAACTTCTTAAAAGCTGTAGCATTGCCAGAATATTACTATGCCTACCTCGTAACATACAGAAATCTCGTAGCGGAAAATTCTAGCGAAAATAATGACATCGCCAAATATCTCAAAAATTTGTTCGATTACAGAATGATTATTGTCAATTACTTTAATAACAAAGTTTTAATTTTGGTATTTGACGTTTGACGTTTCTATTAACTGTTTTTCTCTTTATTCTATTTGTAAAATTTATTTATTTATTTAACGAATGTCGTTATTTATTTAACATGTCACTATTTTTATCATAATATGTGTATCGATTGACTTGTTTACTAAATTTTGTGCTTGGCTTTCGTATTCTCTTTGAAATTGCAATATCTTCTTGATACTATCTGCAAGCAGCTTTTTTTCTTGATGTCCACATCGCAATCTTTGAAATTGCATTAATGTTACGTTGCCTTAAAAAACCAGTTTCTAAACTTGGTCTAATTACATTTCCTGCAGTGATAAAGATGGCGTCCCTGACATAGAAGACAACTGCAAATTCCTTGATAATGCTGATCAACTCGACAGCGACAACGACAAAATCGGTAGGCCAAAACATCTTGCTCTTTAAAATTATTTCCTGCTATTCGAGACTATGTTTAAACCATCATAATATGTTCGCCAAAATAAGATTACATTCACAGAGGTTGTGCGTTACAATGTGGGCCTTTGGCTGCATCCTTTATTTTTCAGTAAGATACTTTGTTGATAGGTTATAGCAATATTTATTGTATAATGCTTCAAAAATTTTGTTCCTAAGAACCAATCTTCTGTTTTAAAACAGACATCAATGCAAATTTCAACCCATGCAGATCGCAACAAGTCTTCGGCCTAAAAAAGGGAGCAAAGTGCTGCCAAAAATGCATAATTGCATGCTTAGAATCCCAGACATGTTGTGAGAAACAAGCAAGAGCGACTCCTGGAACGATTGAATCTTTGATAATCTAGCATTTGTCGCAACATTCGACCACTTTTCTGTACTTGTGACAACTTTGAGCCTTCTTTGGAATGTCTGTAATGTTCACATAGCACAATAGAATGACCAAATAATTTCGTTGGCAGACCTTTAGCAAATTTGCGCTTCCTATACTTGGGTGCAAAGCTTCCAATATAGAATGATACGTGTATAAATTGGACGATAACACAATTTTCCTCTTTCAAACACTTTTGTTAAGTTTTAGGTTTTGGTACAACAATGTAGAAAATCAGAGGCATCGTAGCATGTTGTTTTTCATTCTTGACTCACTTTGTAGGTGATGCATGTGACAACGACAGTGACAATGATGGAATTGAAGACTCGTATGATAATTGTCCGTTGATTTTCAACCCAGCACAACTTGACACTGATGGTAAGTGCTCTTTTGAAGCACGATTGGTTGAATCGGCTGAAAGCCAAGTTATCAATTGGTTAAAGCTCTGATAGCAAATCTATGCTATTCAAGTTTTAATGTCAATTATATTGCAATTGTAAAAGAATTCAGAAATTGCAAAGATAAATTATCGGGATATGCACTTCTTAAGTAAAGTGAAGCCTAAACATTTAGCATTCTAAATTTTACGTCTAGCAATTTTAGCTGCAGCAGTCGGAGGGCTTGGAATTTTGCAATGCTGCACATTGGAATATTTGAACTCAAGGTTTTTAGATAACAGTAGTTCTAGAACAAAGTCATATTTTATCTATTGTTGGTTAGTCCAAAAGAACTTGAATAATATTTAAGATTTTTGTATTTTTAGGTGACGGAAGAGGCGATCTTTGTGCTGAAGACTTTGACGGTGACACAATCAAAGATTATCTAGACGATTGTCCAGCTAACAGAAACCTGACAGTGTTAGACTTCAGGTCTCTTATTTTGATTCCGTTGGATCCAATTGGTTCTTCTCAAAAAGACCCTAAATGGACAATCAGAAACAAGGTAACGATAGATTTGTGAAATTCTGAAAATTCCCAAACAAGGAGTTTATTACAAGTTTCAAGTTCTGTTTCTTGCAGTAAAAAATGTGATGTTTGACTGCACTCAGCATCATTGCAAGACGAAATTCCAATTCAGTTAGACTCAATCACAATTCGAGTCAGAAGACTGAATCGACTTAGATAGGTTAATAAAGTAACATATTTTTATCAGCAAAATTTTCATGCTTCACACTTAATACCTACTGTTTTACTTCTTTTGTTCTTGAATTTTATTGCATTCGTAAATCTACAACGATTGTCGACTCTACATCACAAGAGCAAACAACGCAAATTGTGTTCCATTTGCGAAGCAACTTTTAGAGATTATCCAATCAAACTTGACTTTTATCAAGACAGGATACTTAATGCAAATGAATTTTTGCCTCTCAAGGGAAAAGAAATTGAGCAGCTGCTAAACTCTGACCCTGGTATCGCTGTCGGTATGAAGACATCCTTTCATTTTTGTATTTTGACACATCTTTATGTAAATTAATATAGCGCATGCATCATTTATTGCCAATGGAAGAGTTTTCCTTGAGTATATAAATACAATCGACCCTGTCGTCGATTCCTAACACGTTTAATTCGTGTAATTACTAACTCGAACAAAATTCTTAGGTCCCTTGAAAATAAGCCTCTATATTTCGAGTCTTTGTAAATCGAGCATTTTGTAATTTGAGAATTTTACAATTCCCTAGAGAGTAAAAATCGACTGTCTAAACTTAAATAACACACAAGATTAATCTGCCATGGCGTGACAGGAATTACAAAAAATCAAAACCTAATAAAGTTTTGAGTTGTTGTTTTTTATCAATACCAACAAAGAACGTTTTCCTGAAAGACGCAAATTGAATTGCAAGAAATTTCAAAATCGAGTTTAGCCCTTTGTACTCATTCTTTTTTGCTGTTTAAAAACTTATTTTCGCCTATTTTTTAACAAGTACTTTCAGTTTGCTTGGTATTTATCGCTGAAGATTAATCCTGTGTGTTAATAATCTTATTTGGCAAAAAGAGAGCTTGACATAATGCTGCAGTATTTGCAAAATGTCAATTTCTATTCCCTATGGTCTTTTATTTTCTATCATAACTAATCCATTTCAGTCAGCCAATGTTTTCGTGAAATTTTCAAAATATTCAAACAAGTCCTAGTCACGTGTTTCCTATATGCATCTTTCTTTAATGAACACGACAACTGCGATGAAATTTGTTTTACAGATTTAAAACTTATGATAACAAATAACGTTTATTACTATTTTTTTAAGTATTCAGCGCTATTAACATTTAGATACCCTGTTTTCTAGCACCTATGTCTCTGAGCTCAATTGAATTCAGTGGTACGATTTTCGTAAACACTCACGCGGACGACGATTATATTGGGTTCATCTTCGGGTACCAAGACTCGTCAACATTCTACACTGTACAGTGGAAACAAAAAAATCAAACATATTGGCACAGAGACCCTACACTTGCAGAAGGTACCACTGGAATGCAAATTAAGGTATTCAAATGTTTTTTAATCCTTGGGCTTAAAATCTGCTTTGTGGGACTTAAAACTGGGACTTGAAAAAGTCAGTATATAAATCATGAAGTTTTTCATGTCATATACTGAAAATAGCATTGTTAAATAGAACAAAAGCGTTAAATTCAAACACTGAAAGTCGTATGTCCAAATTAAAAATTTGTTTATAATAATGAAAAGGACTAGATTCATCAAATTTTTTTCTTTTACAGGCAGTAAAATCGAAAACTGGTATCGGAGTTGCTTTGAGAAACGCACTTTGGCATGCCGGAGACACAGCAGGCCAGGTATGTAGTTCTAATGGGAACATAACGTTTTGAATAATGCAATCTTCAGAATAATTAACTTCAATATTGCTCGATAAATTGAGCTGACTTTATTTCCTTGCTAGCTTTGCTTATTACCAGACAGACGTATCATTTTTTAGCTCTTAAGTTTGTTAATACAGCAGTGTAATTCCGTCGGTTAGCAACCAATTCTTTCGACCATAGATCCTACAGGTTTTATTGCAATTTGAATAATCTTGCACAAATTTCACCAGGCACGATTAATCTGGCAAGACCCTTTAAGGCGTGGATGGAAGGATCGAAGAGCATACAGATTCTACCTTTCGCACAGACCACGGGTCGGATTAATCAGGTCTGACTCATATTTTCAATTCTTTTTAATTGCTCTAAATATATTGATGAAAATTTTGCAATATTTTTTCTGTAGAATCATCAACTATTACTGAAGTTAAATATTTTTGAAGAAATTTACCGCATTTTCGGCGTATAAGTCGAGTTACTAGATCCGAAAAACAGAAGTGGAAATTCGACCTTGACTTATACGACACTGATATGTTCTCGAGCAATTTTGCTTTGTATTCGGGAAATTTCTACCTTAAAGGAGGTTTATGCTAGTGTCGACTTATACTCCGGGTCAACTTATACACCGGGTCGAATTATACTTCGGGTCGACTTATACGCCTGGTCGAATTATACTCCGGGTCGACTTATACTCCGGGTCGACTTATACGCCGGGTCAAATTATACGCCGGGTCGACTTATACGCCGAGAAATACTGTTCATGTGAAAATCCTTATCAAGACCCTTATCAAGTCTTCCTTCCTACAAAACTATGCCGCAATAGTCTATTAAAGTTTTGATTTAGGAAACAACGAAGGTTTGTGAGAAATAAATACCAGGAGATCTGTAGGACTGGAAACTGTTTGTTTTAGTAATGAAATATTGAATGGTCGTTTATTTCAAAAAATTTAGGCTTCAAGTTTACGACGGAAAGGATAAATACTTCGACACAGGCTGCCTGTTTGACAAGAGCATCAAAGGTGGGCGAGTTGGATTGTTTGTATTCTCACAGAAGAGTGTCATCTGGTCAGACATCGCTGTGAAATGTGAAGGTGCGTGAACCAAGTTTAAGTTTTGGTTATACTTGTATTACATTGACGTAGGTAACTAATTATGCTAAAGGCTGGATTCAAGATTAATTCGATGTTGTGTATTTAACTATTTATCGTGAATTTGCGTAGAACCTGTCAATGCACTGTTGTGTTATTCCTGAATTGACTTCAAACTACTTTTTGTACTTTATACTTTTTTGATGAACGCAACAAAAAGTAATAGAGAAGCTCAGCCGTAAACTAAAAAAATCGCTACATGCCTAAATTGATAAAAATAGTCCTGTTTAATCTGTTTCAAGGAAAATAAATAGATTTAAATTTATATTTTTTAATCAAAAACAACGTAATTCATTTGGATCGAATTATCGACAAAGCTTTGACCTTTGCAAAATAAAGCACATTGCATTTTTGTCAAGTTGAAATTATTTGCAATTTTCCAACTCATCTTTCAATATCAAAATAAACAGTTTTTGCCGATTTAATAATGAACTACCAAATAGCTCGATGAATTGAACTAAAAAATACATCAGAAGTAGGTATGTAACTTAATTTATATTGATCGTAACTGACAGACCTATGTTTAAATACGGATAAAAATTTACTTGTAAACTGTAAAAAATGATACTTGTAAAAAATAACATTAACATTGAAGGTGATTTTTATCTCTATATTTTCGAGATTGATTTAAATTATTATTTTCCTCTCTTGAATTTTTAAAAAAGTTCTCTTGAAACTTATGCAATAATTGCGTGCTAGATTTTATTATTTCCGTTCCTAACTTTCATTGTTACCATTTCTTGTTTTTCAGATGCAATTCCGGCAGAATGTTACGCTTCCACTCTTGAACAAATCAAAAAGGAAGATCCAACAGGAACAGGAACAGGAAAGCTAGACTTACTTGGCTTTTCGAGTGCATTAAGACCCCCAAGAATTATGAAACCCCGAAAACTTGGCTAAATTCAGCAAAAGCTAACATTATTTAGCATTTGTTCTGGACTAGTTTCAATATCTTGAAGAGATCCAAAGATAATTTGTAGTAAAACACTGTACTAGAAAGCACAGTTTCTACAAACAGGGTAGCTTTTACTCAGATTTCAAGTTGTTTAATAAACGAGTCTTTGTATTTCTTAATGCATCAATAATTCGATATCAGCTAAGGCAACTATGAGCACGGAATCATCTATGTATCATAAAGGAACTCAGATTTCAAGCTCGGGATAGAGGCTTCACTGAAGTCTGTAAAAATTGCAGCCTGAATACGAGAACTGATTGCATGCAAAAACCCTAAGTAGATGCTTAGCTTTCCCTCTCGAAAATGAAGCTATCCATGAACAGTACGTCGCTGTTGATATCACCAAACCAACGTTTGAGACCTCTTTGTGGATAGGTAAGACAGTGTTGCTATACGATGCCAAGCTTGCATTATCGAATTCATTGGGCCTTTCAAAACTTCTTTTGACACAATATTACATTTGCCACAAGGTATTGCCATGATGGCATTATATATACACATACGAGTTTAAAGCTTGAGATTGCATGAAAACTTCAATTTTGATAAACTCCTTTTTATGCAGAGAATTTTACAAATTTGCATACTTTTTGTACATCTGGTGTAACCTCTCGCTTTTATTGCAATTAATCGCGTAAAGGCAGTTTAATGTTTCCATAGCGTTTAATCCTGTTTCTTTTTATTCTTTGCGATAAAAATTGAGGATTCTTGTAATTAACGCCATTCTTTTGAGTTATATTCTGTCTACTGAGAATGAAGAAATTTGGTTAGCAGAGGCATAAACAGTCCTGAGGAGAGGAGGGGGGCCAGGGGGGTCATTAAGGGCCCTGAAATAATAACTCAATTAGAATAGACAAGGCAATCTTGAATAATAACTCAATCAGAAGCTTATAAGAAAGATTTGCTTGAATTTAGAAATCGAACATATTTCACTTTTAAAGATTTTTTCATGACCATCAAAGTTATTTTAGCAACCATCCTCTCAAAAATGTTCGTCAGACTCCCTAGATGAGCCTGCCTTCCAAGTGCCTTTTTATCTTTCTTTCGATTTGACACGGGGCCAATAAATCCTCTCCCGCTGCCCTGGGTATAATTATGTTGAAGGCACGATTATCAGAGAGTGGGATTATCAGAGAGTGGGATTATCAGAGAGTGGGATTATCTGAGAGGTAGGATTAACATTTCATCGTGCTTTTAAAAGCGGGCTTGGATTTGCAACCTGTTCTCCTGTGTTTTTTGGGAAATGATTTTGCGCGTAAACTGCGAAAAACATTGATGAAAGTTTTTTTGGAAAAACGATGCTGGCCAGCTTATCAAACCGTCAGCAATGAATCTTAATCTGAATTTTTCCGTTAATCGCGGTATAAAAATTTTCAGTAGAATTCACAAAAGGTTCAGAGTCCACTTTAGCAATAACAAGATTTCAAACGGGCTAGGAGAGATTGAATGAGATAGACTTAGACAACAAGGGTTCTTTGCTTTTCAAATACAACGTAAATTAAAAAGTAACTACCTACCGTCAGAAATTATGATACATGAAATTATGAAACCAGAAATTATGATACACCACAGGCATAAAAGTTTAACTCTTAAGTTATTTAAAGAGTCATTATAAATTTCGTTTTCTTGTCTAAAGATGTTTCCTTGTTGCTATGGAAACCAATTGGGATCGGTGTGTCACAAGATTGCGCTCACCTATGCGGATACACTCATCAAGAAACTCGCTACCAAAAACGATCATAAGGCCATCTTGAAAATTAAGAAACTTTAGTACTCAGTTGAAGAAAAAAAGAAACAAACAAAATTTTGAAAGCTTCTAGAACTCAGTGATTTTGTGAACTGCTGTCATCATGATTGGCTGGTTGACATAAAACTGAAGATACTCGGAGTCTGAAAATACATTCCAACGGTGCATTTATTGAGACAGAAGCGAATCTCTTGACAGAAATATCACAAGTATTAGAAAACAATACAATAGAATCCCGTAATAACGTACTCGGTTATTACGTACTTTCGGATATAACGTACTGGTGTGCTTGGTCCCAGCAAAAGGTGTGCTTGGTTTTAGTCAACTTTTATTTACCCTCGTTACAACGTACTTTGGATATAAAGTACGTAATACACTGGTCCCTTAAAGTACATCGGATTATACTGTAGAATTAAGCCAGTTGCTTAAAAATTGGCGCTTGCCGCAACAAAGATCTTTCAAATAGGTTTCTATTGGGAAGTTTCTTAGGCCCAGTTCATACGCCGCATTTCTGCCGCAGCGAATTAAATTGACAAATCTGAAAAAGTTTCAGTGTCATTTAAATGCGGCAAAATACGGCGTCTGAAACCGAATAAGAATTTATCAATTCAATGCGGTAGAAAAGCGGCCGCATTTAAATAATAGTTTTAGCAGAAATGCGGCTTGATTTCAGACGCTGTTTTTCTGCCGCAGCGAACTCAATGAAAGTTGTGATTGATATTGATTTTGATTGATCGAAGAGTGATTCAATGGCAATACGCATGCGTATAGTTGTGCTGTGTCGGCCAAAATTTATGAATCTCATAGTCTTTGGTTATAATGGCTGCCTTTCGATCGAAACTTCAAACGTTTTTGCGAGAAAACCAAAAGTGGAAAAACCTAGTCTACAGATTCTGACTGCTTGTCATCAACAATATAATTTGATACCAAATCGACAATATTGACTGCCTTCTTAACAAAGTGGTCAGAAGAAGATGTCTCAATTTTTTCTGACTAGCTCGTCCTATTTAATTATTCACAAGCATGCTATTTTTATTCATCAACGTAATCAGAATGGCCAAAAACTGATTTGTTGGCACCATGTTGTCATGGAGAAACTAGAAAAGAGAATCACATCGGTAGCGCTGCGCAGGATTTTGAACCACATTAAATTTGACAGGGCTTGATTAAATTCGGCGTCTGAAACAAAACAAAAACTTCAGGAAAATACTGTCGCATCTAATTGCACTTTAATTCGCTGCGGCGGAAATGCGGCGTATGAACTGGCCCTTAGTGCGAAAAAAGTACGAACCTAACGTTAAAATTGATGACTTCATACGTAAGAAGTTCTTTAGAAACTTTCTACAGTGTTAAGAAACTGAAGTACACAACTTTGTTTCTTACAAAACAATTATTGTAACGAAAACGGTTTATACTGCCAGTTTGCACGAAAAAATTTATCAACCGCAAGGAAGCAATGATACACATACCACCAAAGGAGAAGGCTTACTTCTAAGGGATAACTCGCCTCCTTCATTTTCCGTCGTAATGTTTGTGGATCAAATAAATCTACAGGATTATTTTCTGCTTGCAAACAGCACCCCTTTTAGCTGAAATCACTAAGGATTGGGGTGGTGGCTTTTGTTTCTAATACTGACCCCATGTTTATTGAAATACTGACCACGTGTTTATTGTCTTAAAATAATTATTAAATTAGCAACTATACAAATATGTAAAGTCCCAAGATTAGACAAAAATCCAGAAATCTTTTGTACATCGAGTATGTATTTCTGCCCATATTTTATCAAGGATACTCGGCTCAATATCTTAACTGATTCTCCCCTATTGTTGCTGCACACGTAAAGGAAAACCACTCCCCATGCAGCAAATTGTTTACCAGTGGTATAAATTGGGCAGCAAAAAAGAATCTGCGAAGCCTACTTCATTTTGCTGCTTTGTAAAGACAGAAGCTATCCATAACATACACTGCCACAACTACGAATTGTACACCGACATGTGGCGTCAAGGATAGGGGTTAATTACTTTCGTCAAAATATATAACAGAAATTTGATAAAAGGCCGTTAAGTGAGGGTAGATCATGTTTTTGTCTAAGGAAAATTTAGCTGGTACGAAGAACTGAAACGAGGCAAAATGGGCGTGGTCTTACTGAAAACTCCAGTAACTGGCGTTGCCAATGAGTACACTTCATCGAAAATGAAAACATTCCTTTGTTATTTCACCTTTAAAGATGTATTATTTTAAATTAAGAGAAGTTTCAAGCAGACTTTTTTATGAATGCAGCCAAAAAGTAAGTGTCCCAGATTAGTGTCCCAAAAAAAAAAAGAAAAAAAAAGTAAGTGTCCCAGCTAGTTGGTCATTCCTGGACAGAGACAGAAGGGTTGAACAGATGTTGAACTGCTTTAAACAAGCCTGGTGACTGCCAGAGGTACAAAGCCGGGCTTACTGTGGCGTGCAAACACATAATCGTGTCCACAATGTAAAATGGGACCGGACCCTGGCCGGAATAGCTCAGGGAGGAGTATACGATAATCGCCGGCAGGTTGAAAATCAGCTGTAAGCCGATTACATAGGCTGTGAACCTATTGGTGCGGCTTTCTTTTCTTGCCTTCTCCTGCTCAGCAGCCAAATTCACATCCTCATTTGCTACTTTGATGGTAACCTGATTCCTCCGTATTCTCCTAACCGCTTTACGCAGGCTTAAATGAACAAAAATATTGTATACATAGCCGATTAGCATGACTAAACTCATTATAATGCTTGCATACATTGCTGTAGGCCTCGTTTCCGCACCAAGTATGATTGCAAATGCCAAAAGCCAAGAAGATATGGCGAAGAAAAAGATCTAAAATATAAACAAGGCAGTTAGAGATATTTACTTTCAATTATTCTGTTTTTCTATTGAAAAGGAACTGTGAAACAAAAACAGAGCTTGAAAATCATGCAATCATTGTATCCTAAAAAGAAAGTAACTTTTAATTTAGTTCTGGTAAAGAAATCATACAAATGATCTATAAAGAGCATTCTTGGTTTGAACCTATTACAATACAGTTAGTGAGCAAAAGTATTGCACAAGTTTGCCAAATCAGTAATGGCGGCCGTGCTGTGAACAACGATCGAAATTCAAACCAGATTTGTGAAGCCATTAGGCGACTTTTTATAGATAAAAACCGATCAAACCAAACTTCAAACCATTGGCAACACTTTTGATTCAAAAATTTAAAAAGTTACTTTTTCAAAAGTAAAAAATTTTAACTTTTATTGGACAGTCGGGCAGCTTTGAAACCTTTGTGAGACATACAAAAGTTTGTCAAAGGTTTTGTAAAGGCTCTGTAACAGGTAATCGCGATATGACAAGTTCAGAAAAACATTTGCAAAATCACATTTAAATGTTGGAGTACCAAGTTGATCATTAATGGCCTTGTATTTGGTGGAAAGTGGCATATTTAAGCCATTTTATTAAGCCTACTCTATTACAGCTATTGAGGCACTTGAGTGAACCTGTTTATCGCGGGAATTTTGGTATTTTCAATTAATGAGAATACGGAATTTTTATTTTACGCAATTTGCAGCATTATTTGTTCCCATTACAACATCGCAATCGGTTGGAAAAGAAAGAGCGGACGACTTGTGATACATTCTATTGATCGACTTCTGTTGCAATAAGCTCGAAGCGCCGCTGCTATTAGACCGATTACAGCTCCAAATTTTTCCCACCGAAACCTTAAGAATATTCTCTAACAAAAGTGAGAAGAACGAGCAGTTCTAGAAACCCAAGCATAAAGCAAGTATCCCCAAGTTCATTGTAATAAGATTTCACAAATTGGTGCAAAGATGAACTTTTTTATTACAAATGGGTACACGGGTACTTCAATAATCGTGGCTCAATTTTTGTGTTTTTGCGACCTGTCCATATTGTATTGAAATAGATAAACGTCAAGACTATTCTTGCATTTACTATTTTCAGAATCAAACCTTCGATAAATTTTCTAACATTTTCCAGTTAAAAATTCATCTTATAACTTTTATGAAACTTGCTATGGCCATTTGAATTCTCGTTCGCTGGAAATTCTTGCTGCAGTGCCGCCATTTCTGCTTCAGCCTGTGCAATACATTTGCTCACCAAGTGTACAAGCCTGTTATAATAGTTTGTAAATTTTGTAAATTTAAACTTCTTGTTTAATATGCGCTGCATTTAGAGAAAGAAGATCTTGTTTTCTTGAAAGCTGAAAACTCACTCTCCTTTTGGGCTACTTTTTATCTACTTATTGATATAAACTTCGTCATACTTTCAGTCGTTATTCGAAGTTTATACTCTTTTGAGAATCAGAGGAAAATTACACATCCAATCTTCTATGCTATCTTCAGCTGTTACTCGTTCTAGATAGCTTTCAGTCATAACAAAGTCGTTTCTCGTTTAGGAAAGGCTACGTTGGGGTAAGGCCAAGATCTCTTCTGCTTAAAGTAAACTTTTAGGTTTTCCAGTACAGTATTCTTGGGCCAAAAAAAGTTAAAGAAAAAGCCATTCGTTGCCAAATGTTTGCAGAGTGTCTGAAAATAAATTTTTCAAACAGATTTCAAAATTTGCATCACAAATCTGTTAATGGTATTGCCTGGGGTTGTTGAACATTTGGAACCTGTGGCTTCTTGGAACAATAATTGTAGTACAAAACTAGTATATAAAAGGATCAAGCCATATCATAGCACAGTTTTTTGCAACTCAACTCAAAGAAATGTCAAACAACTGTATGCCTGGAAAGTCATACAATTGTATACTTAAATGACAACAGGCTGTATCTTTGTCAGTTCCAAAAATCCATTTTATCGTTTGAAATAAACTGAAACTACTGTCAAAAGAAAAGGTTTAATGTTACCAAAATGATGCTTGCATGCCTGAAACTAGCTTACCATTGAACCATCAACTGTGTTGACAAAAATGCTGATTTTAGAGTTTCAAAATGATATGTGCCATCAAAACTACTTTTTCTATCTATGAGATCATAAATAAAATAACCCAAAAGGGTAGCCGATCTACCAATGATGCATGTATGTAGATGACTTTATTGTTAAATGAGTTACTTCGTCGATAATTTTTCGATATTTTGATAATTTGAAATATTTACCTTTTTGTTTGTAAACTTTGAAGCATACAAAAAGGGTTTCTTCAATGCAGTATATCTTTCATAGGACAAGAGTATTGTCAAAAGAATTGATGTCACGGCAACAGTTGAGCTGAAGATTGATGTAAAGGCTCTTATAGCGCAATTGGAAATTCGCATCGCCACCAGTAGTACGAATGCACCGTGTGATGGGAGGGAGAACAAGCCAACAAGTAGATTTGAAACGAGGAGACTGAGTATGACAAAGTTTGTTTTCGTTTGAAGCCTCTTGTTCATGCGAATGGCCACTATGAGAATGAGGTTGCAGACGATCGTAAAAGGGACAGCAGAACAGTTGATGATGCCAATGGCGTACGAGAACTGCACAAACGCGTTTGTCAGGGGGTAGGTATACGTCCTGTTGTGATGGGTGAAAATATCACGGCATTGGAAACTCCAATCTCCCTCTTCGGTTACGGTCATATTCCTGTTCGTTGTCATATTGTTGTGCCAAATTGGAGACTAAACGAAAACAAACATGAAAATCAAACACCAAATCAACAAAATTAAGCAAAAATACAGAAACAATGATTCGATGTCCGTTCGATTTTTATTTCGTATTGGTCTCTGCTACTTTTGTAATAGTTTCCTGCACTTTATCCGCGTACGTAGAATTCCTGGAGGCGAATGAGGTCTTTGTTTGAAGGCAATGCAGTATTTGACGAATATTACAGACCAGTTTAAGTTGGAATGGTGGCATCATAGTAACAGGACAGGGAGCGTTGGGTACGGGAAAAATGGATTGGTACTGGAGAAGAATACATGGAGCAGGGAGCAGGTGGTAGGGAGCAGTGGATAGCGGAAGGGGGCATGAAGCGGGGATAAAGGAGCAGGAAGCAGGAGGCATTGGCAGGGGCAGTGATTGAGCTCTCTGTCTGAGGCGTGGTGTGGGTGTTGTTCTTTAGAATGACAGGCTGGTTATCAGGCGAATGATTTCCTTAACAAAATCTAGAATCACTGCTGGTGAGAAGATACCTTGCAGCTTCTTTGATGCTTTCTCTAAATTCTGATCAATAAGTTCAAATAATTGCTTCTTGACTGTCAATATATTTTAGACATTTTTTAGAGACACTGGTTGGAACGGGCGTACTTCACCTGGTGGTCGGGATGGACGTACTATTGTAGTTTACAGTACAGTGCACAGTAAATATGTTGTCCTGAAAAAGCTAGAATGTCTAGGCTCCACCTGTGGTCACACCCTATATACTTGCATTTGTGTTTCAATATTCTCAATTCTGTATGTGAAATCATTCAAAATACTCTCTGAATCTAATCGCTAATGGGAAATGCTCATAATAGGGGGTTATCTCACGTAGAAAATTCGCCCAACAAAACATTGATTGGATTCTTAAAAGTTGCTGTGCCATCAACCCCCCCCCAACCACCCCCAAAAAAAACCTTTCAAAAGCACATTATAATCAACGGTGTAAAATAAAAAATTATATGTCCTTATGGAACTAATATACAAGATTGCGTGTTGTACAACTTAATAGAAAATAACTATGAATTTAAGTAAATTGTACTAGGAATAAATATAATCAATTGACGGCTTTTCGAGCTTAGCCCGTAATCATTGACCTCGTAATTTAATTTTCGAGTTTTGTTGAATTTCAGCCCGCCTTTTTTCTTAAATCTTTTGAGTTTTGTTGAATTTCAGCCCGCCTTTTTTCTTAAATTATTCATATTTTTTGAGCAAATCTCATCCCAATGTTCCTTATTGGGGCTGTTTTAATAAAAATAAACGAGTATGACATATTTTTCCTTTGTATTGTACTTTGCTACATCTGTTCGGCTTGTCACGTAAATGTTCATCTGCGTAGACGATTTAGCATATCAGATTAGTGCAATTAGTAAGCCATAATAGTGATTTGTGACTTTCTCGTGTCTACTTTATTTTCTAAATGCTTCTATTATAATAATTACACTGTTACTTTAGGCAATTTTTACGATTCTGATGCAGTATTGTCATTGGTCAGAACATCTGACTTCTTCGTTAACTTTATCACTAGAATTGCGCGCATAGATAGTGGTATCATCAGTAAAATTGCAAATTTTAGTGTTTAGTAGTTTCAGCAAAATAAATGTAATTTACAAATACATTGAACAGCAGAGGCCCTAATACTGGTCCTTGAGGGACGCCAATATCAATTTCTCTCCTGTAATTGTTTATTTTTGCTCTTTGTTTGCTGTTTAACAGATAGCTCTGGATGAGCTGCAGGGAATTTAGATTAGTTCCATATGCATGCATATTTTATGCCGTCAAAAGCTTTTTTCAGGTCCATAAATATGGCCCCTGCACAGCCTCCTTTGTCAATGCTATTCTGACAGAAAGTTGAGTATGGCTCAGCATGATGCGAGGATGGCTCAGTTGTTAGATGCGCTGACTACAGACTCAAGGGCCCGTGGCTCGAGTCCCTGGCATGACCAAACTTTTACCCAGAGTGGGTAGAGTCGCCAGCTCTCTGTAATTCCAGGCATAGGAATGGTGTGGTCACATCGAGAGGAAGGCCCAGGACACTGCTCGATAAGCATAGCTTCTCAGTGTCCTAAAACTATCTTCGGATGCTAGGTAGAAACAAATACAAATACAACAATTGAGTAAGACATGCTGTGTGTTATAATTCTGCCTAAACCCTCCTAAGAGCGGCCAAAATGAGCCGTTGATAAATTTAAATCGTTCCTTGTACACGAGCCTCTTGATAGAAGCGTAATATTCCCAACGTTCTGTTAGTAAAGGCTTGGTAAAGAATTAGCGAAAAATTACAATTGGCTCGTTGTCAGAAAATTTCTTACTCTTTCCCTTTCCAAAAATATCTTTCAAATTTAGGTCTCTGATCCCAGTATATAAAGTGTCAATTATTCGCTTAAAAATTAGCTACATTCATGATTTGGTCTTCTGTCCAGGTTGCTTCAACAGTCAACAAATTAGTTTTCTAACTCGGAAAAGTTACAAAAAACTTGCAGTTGGCTCCCTCAGGAAGACATGTCATAGACATCCACATGTCACTCGTGAGGCGACAATCCCTCACCACCGATTTTTAGAATACCATTGATTTTTAGTCAGGAAACGAACCGGAAAATTCACTTTTTCTTATCGTAAACCGATGCAGCGATCTTACGTAAAAGAATGAAATGACAAATAAACAAAAATGCGCAAGAGCTTGAAAATCTTTTACGATGCCAAAAAAGAAATTGGAAATGTCAGAATTATATTGAAAAAACCAAAATTAAAAAAAGAAAAAATGGAGTCGGGTGGGTGAAACGACGGGCAGTACAACGAGCAAAGAGAGACCCACGCTGTGTCGAGTCCGTGCGTAGCCCTAGTTCAACCGAGAGAAAAGAAATGCTATGAAACATTACCCTAGTGTTCTCAACAAACAGAAACAGGAAGACAAAAGATCCTACAGCATTGCGCGTATTCTTTTAGATATAATGGGGGCAAGTTAGGCGTGAAGACGCAATTCACATAAGACCATGGTGAACAGAAAGCAATGAAAACGTGGGATGAATTAATCAAAGAATAAATATTCATCATGAAATTTACTCTGATCATCATTAAACTCAGTTAAATCATTATTGAAGTCATTTTTTAAAGTACAAATGTAAACCTGAAAATTATCATTAATAACGATTAATGAACTTGCAAATTGAATATATCAAAAAATTTAACGCTTGGAATACGCTTTCCTTTCTGCATTTATCTATCTATGTCTTAAAGTGTCAGCTTTGAAAGTAAATACTTCGTTTAGTAATTTATTTACTGTGATGTACAAAAATGCATTAAAGTCATAGGAAACTTTACAAATATGCTCACCTTTGAGGACCACATGATACCGTCATCTGATGCTTTTTGCCGGAGTTTGCTGTGTCGTTGCCTTTTCAACATGATGTCTTGAAATATTAATGGGATTTGAGAAAAAAAATTGACTGATGTTCACCTTCGTTGCATTTTTTGTCATTTCTAACAGCAGGTCGAGCAAAAATTATTAAAATCTGAATAACTCGAAAATGATTACTTTTCAGCACTAATATTAGGAAAATCCGTCCTTCTTGTTAAAAATATTACATTCAAGCCTTTTGCTTTTCCAAAGCCTTTTATTCAAAAGTCTTTTCATCATACAGTTGCTTGGCAACTGCAAGCAACTTAGTTTGACTAGTATCAGATGCTTTACCTACTAACTTCTGGGAATGTTATACAGGAAAGGAGAAAATGAGAAGTCACGGAAAATGAATGGGAGTCCCACAAGGAGACATCATAAGACCAATAATCTGTGTGATTCATTCAGCAGAGGCTCTCCACGCAACATTACACATCACTCGAACAAGGAAGATCATCAATATAGCAACATTGACATGACTAAAATTGTGCAGATGACATAAGTAGTTTGAATAGAAGATGATGCAAATACGGTCCATGGCTTGAAAGAAAACTTTAATCGACGGTAGAAGATGCGAATCTGAGTGTGAACTGCAAAAAACTGAGGATGAGCAATGCCGACAAATTGAAAAAGTTGAATACATCGCAATTTAATTGAAGCTGAAATTATGTCAACAGAAAAAAAAGACTTCTCAACCGGTGCCTAATGAGCCGAGCAATAACGTCTTCAAGCACATGTGTAGTCTTTGAAAATGCTGGAAGACACAAATTCAATATATATATATTTCTATGCTAGTTTTAGTTCACTTTCCATTGATTACAGAAGTCAGTCAGAGAAAAGGCAACTTGATAAAAAGAACTACGACAAATAAAAATTGCATATTGCTAAAACAATCGACAACTTCTTGTTAAAAATCAGTTGTTGAAGATTTTTCTATTCACTCCAAAACAAAGAACTCCTTTGAGCTACTTATTCATGAAAGCCTTCTCATACACCGTGACAGGCTTTCGCTTAATTCCCAACAGGCCTTTATTCCTATGATTTTGTTCAAACTTCCTTTTCCAGCTCTGTTTGGTGTGCCTTTATTCCTTGTTTATCTCTTTAGGTTGTTTATCATTTCTTGTGACTTCTCGCGCATCCTGATTGCTCCTTTAACGTACTGCTTTATCACGTGGTTTAAGATCCCCTTTGTTTAATCGACGTATTTATAGTTGTTTTTTCGCCCATTAATATATACTGAAGATGACTCTGGACGGAGTCGGAACGTCCATGTAAACTAATACCATGTATTTGTCTTTTAATGGATTTGTCAATCAATCGATTTGAACACGGTGTTTGTAATGTCACGACAAGTTTCGGTGGCTAGATATGACGCTCAATAACTTGAAGACGATCTGCAATATTGAAAAACTGATAATTTCCCAGGTTTAATGTTCAATAAGCCTTCATTGAAGTCAATTTTATTTTGCATTTCAGTTCACACTTAGCCGCATGCGTGGGGCTATTTAGTCTTTTTTCCAATTTAACGCGACGTAATTCAACTTGACTTTTCACCCGTTGCCGTGTTTTGCCGCATTCTA